GAGGAATCATCAAACCTCACAATATCAGACCTCAGACCCCCATACATACATACATACATGCATAATCTATATTATAGGTTCTTGTATGGAGAGCCTGGATCTGTCTGTATGTTACCTGTTAAGGGGTGGAGGAGCGTTATCAGACCTCATCCCAGGAATACATAATATATGTATGCATAACCTGGATCTGTGTGTATTACCTGTATAGGAGGGGGGGAGAAATTATCAGACCTCACATCCCAGGAATATGTAATGTATATTATAGGTGTATGTGTATATTACCTGTGTGGGGGGAGGAATTATCAAACCTCACACCCCATACATATGTATATTGTAGATGTGTGTACAGTATATGAATGGAGAGGTGGTCTCTGTAAGGGGGAGGGGCATTCTTCAGCCTCGCATCCCAGTTTTCAAAGATTCACACATTTGTCCATCCAAGGCGCCCCCATTTTCTAATGGAATCTTATGTGAAAAACGGGTGAATCTTGGCCAAGGATAACCCAGTCATGAATGGACAGGAAGCCTCTGTACTGAGCTGCTTCCTGATCATTCGTAAAGTGAGCAGATAGTAAATATTTACTATGTCCCTATTTATGAATGAACAGGAAGTAATGTATAGCACTTCCCGTGCATTCATAACTGGGGACATAGTAATCACTACAGGAAGTAATGTATCACACTTCCTGATCATAACTGGGGACATAGTAATCACTACAGGAAGTAATGTATCGCACTTCCTGTTCATTCATAACTGAGGACATAGTAATAACTACAGGAAGTGATGTGTAGCACTTCCTGTTCATTCATAACTGGGGACATAGTAATGACTACAGGAAGTGATGTGTAGCACTTCCTGTTCATTCATAACTGGGGACATAGTAATAACTACAGGAAGTGATGTGTAGCACTTCCTGATCATTCATAACTGGGGACATAGTAATCACTATGCCCTCAGTTATTTACAAACACTCAGCGCTCAGTACTGATCATGTTGGTGCTCCGCTCTCCATCCTGACTCCTCCGCCTGTCACAGGAACCGAGCTCTCCTTTCGCACCGCCCCAGCCCGCTCGGCCTCCTGACAACTTCTCTCCTCCCTGCTGTGCGCCGGCAGCTGGATTGGCTCTGTGTTCCCTCCAATCCCCGCTCCCTCTGCTGACAGGTGGGGGAGAGCAGCGGGGATCGGAGGGGGCGCAGACTGAAGCTTGCAGCCGGCGCCCAGCGGGGAGGAGAGAAGCTGGGGATGCACCGCATACTATCAGCATTTTGCCCATCGTACCATTTTCGGCGACCGCTTGGCAGCGGTGATTCGGGTCTTGTTCACACCGTGTCCGTTCAGCTGCATTTCTCTTGCATTTCGTTGTCTATGTGCCTTGTTCACACCATACACGGGCAGCGGTGAGCCACAAGACGCAGGCCAAGGGACCCGGTTGCCCTGAATGTGCGCAGCAATAGCGCATAAAGCAGCAGAATATTCATGAAAATGGTACTTTAGCAGCTAGGGATGCACCGATAGCGATTTTTCTCAGCGCTGACTGGCGGAACGGACGGGGGAGGGGGCGGGCACAGCTTGCTCAGTCTCTAGATAGGCAGAGCCAGCAGTCAATCACGCAGCTGGGCTGATCTCGATAGTAATGTCGGGATCTGTCCCGTCTGCGGCGGTCTCAGTATACCGCGAGCTGATAGTGATTAGAGGGAGCTGTGATATCACCCCCTCCGTCATATGACCTAGTGATGACAGGGAGCTGTGACATCACCCCTGTGTCATATGACCAAGTGATTAGAGGGAGCCATGACATCACTCCTCCGTCACATGACCTAGTGATGACAGGGAGCTGTGGCATCACCCCTGCGCTATATGACCTGTCCTAGACAATGAAGATTCACATGATCTGCTGCAGTTTGCACACAATTCATGTGACTCACACCTTCCTGTGTACTGGCTAATAAAATAAACTGTGTATACACGCCCAGTTACATCCAAGAAGCTCCCGGCAGGCCGTGTATACACAGCGGCTGGCCGGGAGGTAGTTAAGGAGACATCAGGAGTCTATTACACCCCTAATGTCACCTTGGCAGCCCACTGATCAAGTACAGATCATGCTTCAGCTTCTAGTCGGGGGAGCCGGAAGTGATGTTTCCGGTCTTCATTCAGGGAGCAGATCAGCGGATGGATGTATGCTGGTCTCGTTCACCTCTACCACCCAGCACTCATGATGCCGTTCCTGCGCCTGCAGGTGGGGCAGCAGAAACCAGGACCGAGGGGCAGGGGGGGGGGGACGTACATTTCCCAGCCAATGGAAGCGATCAGGCAGCTTTACAGCCACCCAAATCGCTTCCAGTGTAAAGCCAGTGGTCGGTTTTTACAGGTAACCGGACTCCCGGGGGCTATAGCTATAATTGCCCCACCTCTTGGGGCCCGAGGTCAAAATGACATGCAGCGTGTATAAAATAGGGCAACCCCAGTACCCTTCGTGGGTGAGATTAGAATTTAAAGGGCTGTTATAGTTTCTAATGATCAAACCTCCTGAAGATGTGTATGCAATCGTATGGTTGGGCTGTACTCAATGAAAAGTAGGGATGCACCGATACCGTTACTAGTATCGGTGCCGATGCCTAGCCCGATACTTCCTGTATCAGGAAGCCGGGCAGTGCGTCATTACACGTTGCCCGGCTTTCTGATTGGCCGGGAAGCCGGCTCCATGCTCCCTCCTCACTTGTGACGAGAGAACATGGAGCCGGCTTTCCGGCCAACCCGGAAGCCGGGCAACGTGTAATGACTCACTGCCCGGCTTCCTGATTGGTCGGGAAGCTGGCCAATCATCAGGGAGCCTGGCAGCGTGTAATGACGCGGCGCCCGGCTTTCTGATTGGCCTGTACAGCTGGCTTCATGCTCCCTCGTCACCTCATGATGAGGGAGCATGGAGCTGGCTTCCTGGCCAATCAGGAATCCTGATTGGCCATAAAGCCGGCTCCATGCTTTCTGAACACCTAGTGACGAGAAGCATGGGGACGGCTTCCCTTTTAATCACGAAGCCGGGTGGCGAGTCATCACACTCATGTCCCGGCTTCCTTAATGGGACTTCCGGTATCGGTGAGTACTGCGAAAAAATATATCGGTACGAAATACCGGTATCGGTGCATCCCTATTGAAAATAATTCCGGGACTGATGGCTCATCCTGTAATTAGATGCTTGCTGAGGATAGCACACGCGTGTGTCAGGAGAGGGGGGGGAGCAAGGAGCAGATAGAGAGAATGCTGCCAGTGTTGGTTATGCCGGGGAATGTAAGTCCTCAGGACTAGTTGTCACCAGTGGTGGCATCTGGAAACATCCACAGGCATGCAGAGGTCATCCTGTCCAGCAGAAGATGGGGGGGGGTAATCATCTGTCTGTGTCCTGCCATCATGAAGGGCAAGGTACCTGTGCACTTGCCGAAGAACCTTCTCCGTCCGGTCTCCATTGGCTGAAACATACAAATCCCAGGAGTCCTGTAGCCAATGCTCCTTGAAATTTATGGCAAGTGCCCAATTTTTCAACTTTCCCCTAATTGTTGTCAGTGGACCCGGCTCCTATAAACGTCTTGCCGGCTCCTGTACCCGACAGACTGGCTTCCAAATTCCATATTCATATGTTCCACACGGAGAGTTTCCAACAAGAGGACAATCTTTGGAGCCCTGTAGACAATGCTCCTTGAAAATTATGGCAAGTGCCCAATTTTTCAACTTTCCCCTAATTGTTGTCAGTGGACCCGGCTCCTATAAAACTCTTGCCTGCTCCTAGACTGGACAGACTGGCTTCTGAATTCCATATTAATTTCTTTCCCACGGAGAGTCTCCAACAAGTGGACAGTCCTTGGAGCCCTGTAGCCAATGCTCCTTGAAAATGATGGCAAGTGCCCAATTTTTCAACTTCCCCTAATTGTTGTCAGTGGACCCGGCTCCTATAAAACTTTTGCCGGCTACTGGACTGGACAGACTGGCTTCTGAATTCCATATTCATATGTTCCACACGGAGAGTCTCCAACAAGTGGACAATCCTCGGGGCACAATCATGAGAACTTGATGGTGGAAACCTGAACCCACTGGGTCCCACACACAGCTTGGTTTGGTGCCTCTGGTGCACAGAAGGGATTTCTCTATTCTGTGGCTACTGAGGAAAATATCTAAATGAATGTTTTTGAACCCGAAGTTTAGCTATTGGTTAGGAGTTTGATTATTTGGTTGCAGGGGGGATTATTGTTGCAGGACGGGCGGAAAACTTCCAACATGACGGGGATCAGCTTGTGGTCACTATATAGCGGGACACGGTTCAGTTCCTTCCGCTCCATGTGGTGTGATGTTTCCCAGTTATGGGAAGCGGGGATATATAACCAGAGAGCCCAGTTCTGTTTAGACGTTTTAGCATGGACATTGCCAGCTGTGCTATTTATTTAAATAGAATCAAATGGAACTTTTTTTTAAATTAATGTATTCATTTAAATAGAATGTTTTATTTAATGTAATTTAAATGGAGTTTATTTAATGTAATTTAAATCGTTTTTATTCAATGTAATAACTTTAAAAGATTTTTTTGTAATTTAAATGGAATTTATTTTTTAATATTTTAAATACGTTTTAATGTAGTAATTTAAATATTTTTAAATTTTAATAATTTAATTAGAATGTATTTTATTGTAATAATTTAAATATTTTTTATTGTAGTTTAAATATAATTGTGTATTGTAATAATTCATATGGAATGTATTGTAATTAAAATATGTTTTAATGTAGTAATTTAAATTGTTTTTTATGTAATAATTTATATCTCCTCCTCTTCCTTCTCCTCCTCTTCCTTCTCCTCCTCTTCCTTCTCCTCCTCTTCCTTCTCCTCCTTCTCCTTCTTTTGGTGCCGCCTTTTCCGGAACTCCGATTTTCATACCCGCACATCTTCCAGATCTTCCATACTGTTGTTGACATCACCTCAGTGTGTTAGATAAGCTCCTCCTTCCTCCCGTCCTCCACTTTATTTCTTTGGTCCTCCAATTCCTTCCTTCTTCTTTTGTTACCTTTTGTGCCCCCATGGAGGACATTCATTCCTCATACCTGACTGGACCGGACGATGTGGATCACCTGCCCTACCCGCTGCCCTCGCTGGGGCAGAATGAAGCTTGCGCCCCCATGCCATGCCCGGGAGGTGTGGAGATTGTTTTTGTGGGCGGCGGAGAACCCACTGTGGGTGCGTATCCCGACGAGACCGGCGTCCTGCCAGCCTACTTATGGGCACAATCATCGTTTTCGCACGTAGGCGCACCCGACGCATATTTTCAGACACGTCTTTGGGGACTTTAAAAAAAAAATCTTTTTTTATGTGTGACTAATTTTCTTTTCCTAGTTTTCTTTTTTTTTTTTCATTTAAAGGAGAACTATGGCGTTAGGGTTTTACCCCATAGTTCTCCTTAGGGTAACGGGAGGACACAAACTAGCTGCCGGTACATTTAGGAGAACTGTGGCTGCAGAGGCCTGTGTCCCTTCAAATCCCTGCTGCTCTCCACGCTTGCGTTGGCCGAGGCAGCGGGGGACACAGACCTCTGCATTCCTCCGCTGCCCACCTTACCTCCGCTGATGTGCCGGCTTCCGCCGTCCGGACAATCCTCCGGTCTCCTGGTCCGGCCGCGGCTCCTCTGCCCCGCCCCCCTGCCTACTCTTCATTGCAGGCTGGGAGCCATACCCAGCCTGCTATTGGATATTGTAAAATGCAATAGCCAATAGCAAGCTGGCTATTGCATCCGCCCACTGCCTGCTGTCAATCACTTTCTCCTTCAGACCCCTCCTCTGCTGATTGACAGTGGGCAGATGCAATAGCCAGCCTGCTATTGGCTATTGCAATTTGAAATATCCAATAGTAGGCTGGCTATGGCTCCCAGCATTAAAATTAAAAAATAAGTTTAAAAAAATTAAATTAAAAAGACAAAACAATTTAAAAAAAAGTTCCGCCCTGCTCGGCCTCCTGACAGCTCTCTCCTCCCCCCACCGCCCTGCTCGGCCTCCTGACAGCTCTCTCCTCCCCCCACCGCTCTGCTCTGCCTCCTGACAGCTCTCTCCTCCCCCACCGCCCTGCTCGGCCTCCTTACAGCTTCTCTCCCCTACGCTGGGCACCGGCAGCTTGATTGGCTCTGTGACCGCATTTCTGGTCGCATTTTTTTGCCATTTTTGTACTATTGGCATTTTTCCCAGAACACCATTTTTGGACGAAATTTCGGTGCATCCTTGGCAAAATGATAGAAACCAGGCAACTAGCATTTTCAGAAGGTGAGCAGCAATGGCAGCCTGTGTACCTTTTTAAAGGTTTTTATTCTTTCGGAATCTCCTTGAGACAGGGTGGCCATGTATATCTCTCAATGCCTGGGTCATATAACTAGGGATGCACCGATAACGGTATTTCGGTATCGAGTACCGATATTTTTTTTTTCCGGTACTTGCCGATACCGAGTACTGGAAGTCCCATTCAGGGAAGCCAGGCGGTGTGTAATGACTCGCCACCTGGCTTCCTGATTAGCAGGGAAGCTGTTCCCATGCTTCTTGCATGTGGCCAATCAGAAAGCCGATTTGTGGCCAATCAGAAAGCCGAGCGCTGTGTAATGACGCTGTGCCTGGCTTCCTGATTGGCCAGGAAGCCGGCTCCATACTCCCTCGTCATGAGGTGACGAGGGAGCATGAAGCCAGCTTCCCGGCCAATCAGGAAGCCGGGCGCCATGTCATTACATGGCGCCTGGCTTCCTGATTGGCCAACTTCCAGACCAATCAGGAAGCCGGGGCAGCACGTCATTACACGCTGCCCAACGTCCTGGTCACTGACGAAGCATGGAGCCGGCTTCCCGGGCCAATCAGGATGCCGCACAGCGTGTAATGACTTGCTGCCCGGCTTCCTGATACAGAAAGTATAGGGCTTGGCATCGGAGCATTTGGGCGAGTACGAGTACTTCCCCAAATACTCTGCATCGGCCCCGATACTAGTATCGGTATCGGTGCATCCCTAAGCTTACTGTGTCCTCAGTTTATATCATAACTACAATATGATATCGTGCGTTTATAAATCTTGGAAGTGTTTTTTATTGTCCGCCATGTTTGTAAAATCTATGCAATCAGTCACCCATTGTCTCCTTCTTTTTTTTTACCCTCAATAGAAATGGGAACAAACTATTTAGCATTTGTACCCCACAGTAGAATGTTAGCCAAGGCCGAGAGAAAGACCTCATCATATCCAAGTGGTGGTCAGTACTGGGGACGTCAGGCCTTTTTGATTTAAGAAATCCCATCGTGGCCACCATTAACTCTACATATTTGCTCTGATTTGCTTTATAATGGTTCCTTCTGTTCTTTAGGGATGAGACTGACCCACTCCAGAGATTCAGATGGGCTTAACTGCGGCATCTTGGGACGGTAAGGACTCATATATGTTATTTTGATAGAGAGAAATTCGGGTTGCTCCCTTTTTAGACCTTTTTTATCAATGTCGTAGGGTCATGTAGTGGTCAGAGCTGTTTAGGGTTATATTTGGCTTTATGCTCCATTGACTTCTCGATTTTTAAAGGTGTGGTTTCCTTTTGCTATGTGCTGACCAGTATTTAGAAATCTTTCAAAAGCCATTACCTTAAACTATGTTTTAATGTGTTTTCATTGAAGTTTACTGGATTCAAGATATATATAATGTGAACACGAAGATTTAAAGGCCTTGAGCATTAGATTTTTATATGACCATCCTGAACCTTTACCTAATCTTTATCTAACTTCTTCAGCCCAGAGCAAGATCACCTATCTTCTTCTAAATATACTCTTCCACCTCCTGACCATAGCACCTTGCACCACTTTGTTCCTCGGCAGCCTGGCACTCATACCACACCCTGGAGGTATTCAGACACTCATGAAGACATTGAAAGGGAATCTGATGGAATAGAGGAACAGTATTTGCAGCCTAGAAGGTTTGAATGGACTTCAAGTTTAGAGGACGGAGAAGGTCATTCGCAGTTAATGATGGTGAGGTCAGACCCACCATCTATTACAATGCCAGCATTCCGAAGAGCACTGCAGCTGGGAAGGGCCCATGAAGCATGGCAAGGGGGAAACTATTCAGAAGAGGATGCACACGTCGAGGTGGAAGAGGAAGAAGAGGACGAAGAAGGTTCTGTCTATACCTGCATTGAGTGTAGTATTTACTTCAAGAAGAAAGCCCATCTGTTAGAGCACATGTTTCAACACTCCCAGGAAGGAGAAGGAGAGGCTGGACAAGGGGTAGAAGGTCCCCACCCCTGTGGAGAATGTGGAAAGGGATTTGGAGACGAGGAGACTCTAGAATCCCACCGCCAACTTCATCAAGAATCCAGAAAAAAAATCATAGAAGAGATCAGCAAACTGGAGAGTTTCGCAGATGAAGGACGAGATGCTCGTCTGCAGTGCCCCAAATGCCTCTTTGGCACAAACTCATCCAAGATCTTTGTTCAGCACGCAAAGACCCACGTGAAGAAAGTTGGCGGGGAAACTCGAACAATTTCATCACTCAGAGTGTCCTCGGAGATGGCAGATGGAGGCGAAACCTCAGAACCTCCAACTGAAGGGATGTGGAAGTCTCCAGAAATGGAACCTTCCGCTGAGCCTGAATGGAAATTGGAAATCTTGCAACCTGTGATACAAGGTCCTAGTAAGGTAAAGGGGAAGACCGTAGCCAGGGAAGAACCTCGTCTTTCACAGAATAACAAACAACGTGCCGAAAAAGTCGTCAATAAGGCCAGAAGGACCACTCGATTGCCCGAGGCGGCAGTCCAGTTGAAGAAAAGATTTCGAATGGCTCTTAGAGCTGCTGGTGGAGGCGGAGAAGATCAGAGCCGACAACTGAGAGAAGAGGTGGCTGTTGTCTTTTTGGAAAACATCGGCACTAAGAAAAAGAGAACGAAAGGACCTCAACCTTGCGGCTACGGGAAGAGGCTTCCGATAAATAAAACTTTATTCTCACGTGCTTCTCTTGGCCACCATCTGCCCAGAGAAGACTGGGCAGATGATGGAGAAGATGACATCCCTCTAGATACCTTATTAACGGATCCCAAGTATGCCAGTCAGCTTGAAGCCCTTGGGCTGAGGAGCGAAGAACGCGAATGTCCCTATTGTCCTGATCGCTTCCATAACGGGATAGGTCTGGCAAACCATGTCCGAGGTCACTTGAACAGAGTTGGCGTTAGCTACAATGTACGGCATTTCATATCTGCAGAGGAAGTGAAGGCGATCGAGCAGAACTACTCCTTCCAGAAGAAGCGCAAAAAAGGTAAGTGCTGATGTAATGTCTGTCCAGGTGGAGAGAGGGTCATCTTAGCAGTTATATTAAGGTTTTTAGTTTTCCTCTGGGGGGGGGGAGGTTTACAGGTTTAACTACAATATTGTTGTCTTCTCTGATAGCGAGAAAATCAGTACTGTAGGGAGGAGCAGACCCCAATGTGTGTCTAAATTAAGCAATATAATCGTCTTCTCTGCAGTGGTAATAAGTCAGATGAGGTCTGTTCTCGTATAGTCCTTTATATCCCTGCTTATCAATCAAATCTGTGCACTCCAGACACCACAAGGAGCTGATGTAATAAACATGAGCAATATGAAATAGGGCTGCAAGTAATGATTATTTTCTCGATTTTAGTTCCATTAAAAAATCTTCTCTCTCTCTCTTTCTCTCTCTCTCTCTCTCTTTCTCTCTCTCTTTCTCTCTTTCTTTCTCTCTCTTTCTCTCTTTCTTTCTCTCTCTCTCTCTCTTTCTTTCTCTCTCTCTCTCTCTCTCTTTCTCTCTCTCTCTTTCTCTCTCTCATAATGAGAATAGTTGGCAACTATTCGCATTATCGATTAGTTGTTGCAGCCCTAAAATTAAATGGCTTTTATCCACAGCTATAAGACTTAGAGACCCTGTCACCAGCTTAAACGCCGGCTACCACTGCTATAGAGTTTTACTTGAGTGACAGCTCTGAGTTTGCTGGGGCTGCTGACATCTAAGATGGTGGCACCCAGTCGAAGTCTTGGAGCATTTAGATGTCTACACAAGGGAGCCTTTTACAAGTACATAATGTACCTCAAATGTTAAATGCACATATAAGCTGTTTTTCTTTAAAATGCCCCTGTGCCCAGACTATAGACATTAAACGACTTAAATATACTGAAAGCGATGCAGCTGGGATGGATCACGACAATGCTGTCGAGATTCTGTCCACTGGCTGATTTACAGCAGGCTTTACCTATCTAGAGGCAGAGCCAGCTGTGCCCACACCCTCCCCCGTCCGTTTCTCCAGTCGGAGCAGGGAGGGGGGAATCCCTGCGGGGATGCAGGGAGATGATCGGGAAGTAAGCAAGCAGCGGTGTGCATTCGCTCACATCCCGATCTATAGAGCCGACGTGTGACAGCTTCTTTCTTTGTCACAGGTTGGCTCTAATTATGAGGATGAGTGAAAATCACCCACCTCAAAGTTCTCATTTTAAAAGTGAATTTCTCCACAATGTCTATAGATACAGAGGTGAATGAAGCCATTTACCACTTGTTCATGATCTGTAAATACTTTAGAGTGCATGGCCTGGTTACAGATTCAGTTTCGGTATTTTTTGTAACTTGATAAAGAATGTGGATTCCGATTGGCTATGAAAAAGCTCTCAGCTTCTCTTTGCTCAGTTTTTATAACTGATCTTCTAGATGGTTCTTTGCAGTGGCAGTTACCAAATTCTGGCCATAACAAGTAAACAGCCATCAGGAGAAGGCATGGTACAGACCTCACCCAGCTCGTTAGTGCTGCAGAGAAGACCTCCTGAGGCGGGCTGTAGTAGGTTCATACAGACAGATGACCAAACCTTAGCAATACTTGCTTGCCATATGTAAAGCCATGATCTAGGCAACCTACGACTGGACTTTGGTGGCTTTCTGCTTTCCCAGTTTTGCTTGCTGCTCTGATGTTTCCTAGCCATAGACATAATATTGTATGATAGAGAGATTATGTGTAGTGTACATTCCAGCCTGCAATTCTTCTGTGGAACTTCAGTTCGTTAAATGGAGACTTGAAATTAATTTGCTTTATCGGTGAAAGGATTTGTAGCTCTGTTCCGCCAGTGCAGTGATGTATCCACCTTTGCCACACTGCATAGCCAGGCAGGTTTTTACCTCGTTTTCCATGTTCGGCATTGCTACTGCCTGTGTCACCTCTCCACCGACAGCCTGCTTTTTGGCTTATAAATCAGCATTGCTACTTCTCCGATGGACAGGAAGCTGAACCAGGAAGCACAAGTTTCCTCATAAAGTGACACTAAACTCCGGAGTTAAATCTTATAAATACATTCAAGTACATTGACTATTAACAAAACTGGACCTTATTTGTGTATCACTCGGCTGGAGATCCTCCAATCATCTCTGAATTGGTGCCGACACTGTCCTTCCTTCTGGAGGGTGGCTACTTTTGTTCCCCATGGTCCATGTGTGTGTTGTAGAGTAGTCACTGCTCCAAGCTCACTCCCGGGATGTACTACAATCTCAATACAAATGAGTAAACTAAACATGAAATTGTAGTCCATCACAGGAGCAAGCTTGGAACTGTGACTACTTTACAGGGACCACACAGGGACCATGTGGAACAAAAGTAGCCACTAGGAATGCACCGATATCAGTACTAGTATTGGTGCCAATGCAGAGTATTAGGGGCGAGTACACTTACTCGCCCAAATGCTCCGATGCCTAGCCTGGTACTTGAGCTTCCGGGAACAGGAAGCCAGACGGCGAGTCATTACACGCTGCCCGGCTACCTGATTGGCCGGGAAGCTGTCTCCATGCTCCCTCGCCACTTGTGTCGAAGAGCAGGAAGCCGGGCAGAGTGTCATGATTCGCCATCTGGCTTCCTGTTCTGATTGGCGAGAAAGCTGGCTTCATGCTCCCTCGTCAGCTGGTGATGAGGGAGCATGGAGCTGGCTTCACGCCCAGTCAGGAAGCCGGCACCGTGTAATGACGCGTTGCCCGACTTCCTGATTTGCCAGCTTCTCGACCAATCGGAAAGCCCGTCAACGCGTCATTACACGGCGCCCGGCTTCCTGATTGGCCAGGAAGCCGGCTCCATGCTTCCTGGTGACGAGAGAGCATGGAGACGGCTTCCCTGCTGATCGGGAAGCTGGGTGGTGAGTCATTACACTCCGCCTGGCTTCCTTACTGGGACTTCCGTTTTCGGTATCTGTGAGTACCAAAAAAAATATATATTGATACTCGATACTGAAAAACCCATTATCGGTGCATCCCTAGTAGCCCCCCTCCAGAAGGAAGGACAGTGTCAACACCAATTCAGAGAGGATTTGAGAATCTACAGCCGAGTGATACACAAATAAGATGCATTGCTGTTCAGAGTTAAGGTATTTTTGAGATTTATCTCCGGAGTTTAGTGTCACTTTGGCTGTGTGGTCGCGGTGTGTAAAAGCAAATCTTGGCTGAGCGGAGTTACAGATCCTTCAGCAGCTAAAATCATATACATACATACATATATATATATATATATATACAGGGCTTGAAAAATTTGGCAGTGTCTCACCAGTCAGTCAAAAATTTCACCAGTCAGCATGACCGGACTATAGCCTTGCAATATATGTTAAAACATTTTGGGGACAGATAGAGCTTTGTTTTGTGACCCCACGGGGGGTTATTTGTTTTTACTTTATAATGAAAAAAGTACCATAAATAAAAAAAAAAAAAAGTTTCCCTATGTTATAAAACATTTATTCTTACCCATATTTTTAGTACAACATAAAATTCGGGGTCACGTCGGGTAAATAGACACCAAACATGTCAAGCCTTAAAATTGCGTGCGCCCGCAAAATCGCAAAAAACGCCCATACGCGACGATTAAAATGCTTTTACTGCTCATCAGTTTAGTGTTATCAGTGATTGATGGCTCTAGAATTATTGCTCTCACTCCGACATTTGCGGCGATATGTAACATGTGCAGCACAATAGGCGCAATCGTCGTTTTCGCACGTAGGCGCACCCGACGCATATCTACGTGTGTATGTGGGGGGCGGGGGACTTAAAAAAATGTTTTCTTTTTTAATTTTTTTTTATGCTTCTTTATTTATTTTTTTATGATTCTTTAATTTTTATATTATTTTTTTTTTTAACACAACTTTATTGCTATTACATGGGGGGCTAAGAAGCCCCCTATGGGATAGCTAATTTACATGACAGGTCCTCTTAATGGAGATGTCAGGGGTCTCCAAGACCCTAAAGTCACCTAGGGACCCCCAGAGAAGCTGATGAGGCAGAGATCGGCTTCATCAGCTTCTCTAGCTGGAGAGTGACACTGAATGCAGGAAGTGATGTAATATACATCACTTCCTGCATTCGGGGACTGAGAGGAGATCAAAGGGAGTTCGTGTACTGAACTCCCTTTGATCTCCTGTCACAGAGCCGTGCCGGTCCCGGCCGCATCGGGCACAGCGGATCTCGGGACCGGCAACGGCAGTGACAGCTTCTGACACAAGCGATCGAGCGTCTCTATAGACGCTCGATCGCTTGACTGTAAAGCTCCCGGCCGGCCGTGTAATTACAACGGCCGGCCTGGAAGCTGCTCGTCGGGCTCCACTGTCTGCTCGTCACAGACGAGCAGACGAGTGGATTTTCGAGCCCTGTATATATATATATATAATATAACCAGGGTACCATGGTCAACCTTTTGCAGAGCTAATTCTTCACAAAACCTTTGAAATATTTTAAGAACACAAAACTGAATCTATAAAACTGTTCATTTTGTAGAGGTATTGGTATATAATGTGTATAGTGCATTCAGCGATTCTGATAGTGGGCTCAATTTACTGTAGAAGTTCCTATTTATTCATCTATATAACCCCAACATATTAAACAATAATCACTAAACCAATCACATCAGCATTTGCATGACTCACTTTGGCAATTCTACAGAAATTATGACCAAAACATGGTTTGTAACATAATCTAACCTGGTTATGTATCTCACCATTTCAAAAGAATAATTATAAACGTCTAATGATGAATAGTTTTATAGAATCGGTATGATATATTTGAAAGTCAGAGAGCTCAAATGTTGCGATGTGTAATATGTAATTTGTTTGGGAACTTCCAAGTTTAATACGGCCCTTCTTTGAGCAAGTCAGATTGGGACTTGAACTTCCACATTAGCTGTAGAATCAGAGGTCAGCTGAGATGCATGGATGTCATTCATAATAAATGGGAATCGGACAATGCGACCTGTCGGATCAAAGGCGAAATCCGATAACTGCAACACCATTTAAAGT